CGTCCGTAGGTCCATCCATCCATCCATCCATCCTTCCATCCATCCATACATCTATTACATATATACATGATATATATATAATTATATATATATAACTATATATAATTATATATATATAATTATATATATAATCATATATATATATTATGTATTTATATATATATACACGTGTGTATGCATAATATATATATACGTATATATACACATGTGTTTTTATATTACAAAAAAATGCAATTCGTTCTCCACCGTCCTCAATATTCAAAACGCAAAAATGGCTCGGCAAAACCCTATGGTTTGCCCAGAAAGTTTGAACAATATCTTTCGACATGCTAAAATACCTGGGTAGGGCCAGACGACAAACCCTAAGCCCGAAATTATAAACCTTAAAAACCCTAAACCCTAAAACCCTAAAGCCTTAAACCTTGAAAACTCTCTGAATCCCGAACCAGAAAACATTGGTTTTTTAAGCAGTATTTTCTGCAATCTCTCTTATGATGTTCGACAACAGGGCATCCTCAATGTTGCAGTCCCGGCAAACGACGGGGTCTGTGCGTAACACCTCATAGCCATCTCACCCTCATCGGTGCTGGAATCGGAATGTGCATATTCTAGATCCTCGGCCGCGGTCCCATCCGCCCACTGAGATTCCATGGAACTATGAGGGCAAATAGGATTTTCCTATGTATAATCATAAACTTATATATCTTAATATGTTCATTCAAAATCATTCAAATAGCATTGATCTTAGTTCGTAGGATCAGACATGGAGGGACATATAACTTCAGCAATACGAGTGGAATTTAGAAACTAATATCACATAGTTATGCTACGTACTTGAATTTATAGCTCGCGAAATGCTTGAGAGTAAATATATGGAACGGTAGCTAAATGGGGTGACATAAACCAGCAAACATCACTCCTGAGGCCCTTCTTGTGGGAAAAGTCTGACTCCTGGGTGAAATCTGGTATTGCTTTGCATGTGCATAATTCAATATAATTCGATACTATCCTGTAATCTGTGAATATGGACATGGGCCATGGGTCAAAATTGGTATCCCTTGAAGGAACCACAGAAGGCTGGGTCTTTCCAATCTTAAGCATCCATTTTAGGGGTTTACTATTATATGTTGTGAGATGTTTTGAGATTTCTGGGGACATCCTATAGCTGAACTTTCCGAATGGTGGTCTGGGCGATTGCGGAGAGCTGCTTCCAGTGAGTTTAAGATTGGATCTCTCCCTTTTGGTGTCCCAAACTGGTCATTGTGTCTAACAATCTAAAAGACCATGGTGATGGAATTTTATGACAGTTCACTAATATTCCCATTATTCTTGGTGAAGTCCCCTATGGATTGATGCTCGCCGATTCATTGATTCATTGGTCAACTCCCCGGCTCGGATGACTGAAAAACAGTCGGTTTTTGGCAACTCAAGTTGTTGGACGGCTTCACAGCAAACCACTATTATTGTTATATATTCCCTATGGATCCAGCCGTACCTTCTTAGGAAGTGGGACTGGGGTATGATTTAGGGGTTAGCCGTACCCCTTTTGAGACCGTGTTTGGATCCATAGGGATTGTTATCATTTATGCTGAGGTCGGCCAGCAAAACGCCACGACTTGCATGTGGTGGGCCGCGCCACTCATGGGATTCCCGCGGGCGCCATGCACAGTCTTGTTGCTAAATACTCCATGGTTTTGGCGGATGAAACTCCCGTTTTCAACTTACTGGTGCTTAGTAGGGAATGAGGGAATGATCCACAATAACTATGAATAATAATCCCATTCCCGCATTCCCATCCATTCCTTACTAAGCACCAGTAAGTCAATATTCACGCTGCTTCTATTGCTCCAATCAGTATCAGCAAGGTGGTGACCAGTCATAACTTGCTTTACAAACCCAGCTGACTTCGATATATTCCCGCTGACACCCACCTTTGTTAGCCTAGTTAGCCCAGGTATGTTTACCACGTTATCTCATAAACTGGGGCATCACCGTATGCTGTTGGGTGAACCCAACTTAGAAAGCAACAGTTCAGTGGCGAACATACCTATCATGTTTGGTTGGTAAATCGTGTAAACTTCATGATAATCACTATTTTGGAATAAACAAATCACCTTTTCTCATTCGTTAAATCACCATTATTGCCGGCCAATTCCACATGTTGGGTTGCTATTTCTCACCATTCATCATGATATCTCCTATCACAGGAACGATCATGGGGATGGGTCACAACCCATCCCATTCCCGGGGGGAATCAAGATCCAGCATCATCCAGCCATGCCATCCGGGGTACCCATGGGTACCCCCAGTTCCAATGGATTCTCATCATTTTCGCTATCAAAAATTGCTATATTTATGGGATCTTATGGGTATCCCCTACTGCCAAGGCTGGAGGTTTCCTGAAATGGAGGTACCCCTAATCATGCCATTTGTTAATTTTGAATGTTCCATGAAATAAACCATCCAGCTATTGGGTACAGAAGTACCACCCACACAAGTACTTCCATTTATGGAAACCTCCATATAAAGCTGGGTTAAGAGTTGGGTATCATCATAATCCCTATCAAAAATGGCTTGATCATTATGGTATTTTACGGATATTCCCAACTTTCAGCCATATCATTTGTTCATAGGATTGTCCATTCTAAAACCATCCATTTGGGGTACCCTCTGGTAATTTAACATAGCTATTGAAAATGGCCATAGAAATAGTGGATTTTCCCATTAAAAATGATGATTTTCCATAGCTATGTTAAATTACCAGAGGGTACCCCAAATGGATGGTCACAGGAAACCTCAGCGAAACCTCCACAGTGACATCCCCAGGTTCTTCGTTCATCTTCGTTCCGGACCAAGGCACGGCCTCGCTGTGCTCCGAGGGCCAGGAAGAGGCAAAGACTTCGTCACAGGAGGCCACCCGGGGGGGCCTGGGTCAACATACCGAAGGTGAAAATTGAACAGTGGTCCCACCATGGGATTTTACATGGGATTTAACATGGGATGAAAGTGATTTTTGGATATGTTTGGTGGGATTTACTGTGAATTCATCGGATCTTAATGGGATTTAATGGGGATGACAAAACAAGGAAACTGGTGACTATACCGGATTTACTGGGATTGAATGGGATTTAGAGCCAGTAAGTGAGTTATAACACCACGTAGAAGTAAGTAGGGTAAGTAGGGGCAACGTTCATTAATAACTGGGTTATAATGCACTTACGAAGTACCAGTAGGGTGAGCCAGTATGTAAATCAAGAAACAAACATATCACAGTATGTTTGTTTGACAAATATAAATTGACATGGTGTAAATATGGAAATCAAAGCAACCCAAATTCATCGGTACCAACCAATCGCATCTGTGTCTAAGACTTGGGGTATTGAACTGAATCTAGGAAGTCCCTAATCAACTCCATCTTTGCGATTCCCTAGCTCAAGTAAACTTCCATTTCGTGGTCAATCACAAAATGTGTGTTTACGTATTGGATACAAACATGAATAACAATACATGTGTTCATGCCTAGCATGATACTCATTAAACAAATCCAGGCATGTTATCTAGCCCTTCATGTAGTTATATTGACATCTAATAGATACAAGTACTAGTTACTAGTACAATGTATATAGACAATTACCCGGATCGCCACGCCGGAACCCACGCTGCAATCTCTGGAACCAACCTGAACCAACCTGACAATGGGCCCGGAACCTTTTTTCTTGGCTGAGACCCCTAAGCCAACGTGGAGAAAAACAAACATCATCAATATCATCAGAAAGACCCGGATGACCCTGATATCAATGAAACAATCCACACATCTCGGCTCTCCCCATCCCAAACTGCTGGACTTCTACCAAGAGGCGCCAGCAAATGGTCTCCACGGGGCATTGCGGCGTAGGTCTGCTCTGTTGAGTGGGGACGAGGGAATCCTCCAACTTGGTCATGTTTTCCCCTTTTAGGGCCAAGGAAATCATTCACTTCTGATTCAAAGCCATAACCAGCCAGAAAGTCCAAAAACTCTCCAGTTGAATGATTCCAATCCATTTAGGGTCAGGATGGGCTCCACAGAGATGGTACAAAGAACAGAAAACAACGCATGCGAATGTGTATTGTTCTGGCGCTGTGAACTTTGCCAAACATTTCTGTCAAACTTGGTCCCAGATGGTACGGACGGATAGCTATGGCAATATCTATCTGCAATTTTTCTTGTCTTCATTGTAGCCATTGGAGTCATGTTGTTTCCTGATGTTTGAGCCGCAGCCGGAGCAAAAAGTTCCGCCCTGCCCTTCACCCAAAAATGGTGCTTCTACCATCTTCTACCCCATTAAAAGAAAATACAAAAAGGAGGGCTAGTAACGCTAGTAAGATCTATGACCCTCCATTAAACTAATATAGCTATGAAAAAAACACGGGTTCCCTTGGAAATAATCTACTTTCATTGTAGTTTTTCGATGTCATTTTCCTAGTTTACTTTCAGGGAACCATGCACCCGAACCTCAAGAAACGTTAAAATGAACTGATCAATTAATGAGTATCCAATTCCTACCTTAAACTGGCTTCATGTCACACCGAATGATCTGGAAACCGCGACTGACGTATTGGAAAACCAGAAGGAACAGCCCAGTCAATGGAAATTTCAGGATCCTAAAATGGAGGTACTGTACCATATAAGGCCATATTTCATGGGGATGTTCCCTTACATAGGCCTTACATAGGCCTTATATATGGTAGGTACCTCCAATTTAGGATCCTGAAAATCCCATTGACCCAGTCTCAGAAGGAACTTCCAATGCAAGGTTCAAGTATGATGCAATACATATATATATAATATTATGATATGTATATTGTGCAAAGTAAGCCCCAGAAAAATAAGATAAATTCCAGTAAATAGCAACAACAACATATTTCCGTTGGGTTGTGTGTATATATATATATAAGGCCCCACCGGTCTGTACATTTACATCTACATTCAAAGAATATCCATCCGTCTAGTTGCTCCGTGCCTCTGAAGCAAGCAGCGGCGCTGCCAAGGTCACTACCTAGGTCTACCCTCTGGTAAACATACAAAAAACTATTGAAAATGGCTATTTATAGTTGATTTACCCATGAACAAATGTGATTTTCCATAGTTTTTTGTATGTTGACCAGAGGGTAGTCCCTGGGATCCAAGTCAAGAGATTGTCGGTACTTGGGGATGCAGTTGGGTTGATTTTGATGGCTACGACCCTAGTGTTTACCCCATATGTTGTATAACTCCCAAAAGACTATAGGCATAATATGGGGGGTTCCTAAAATAGGGGTACCCTAAAATCATACAAAACTAGACAATAATATGAGTATTGAAACCTATGGTTTTGGGGATCCCCCATTTTAGGAACCCTCCATCTATCTATCTATCTATCTACCTACCTACCTATCTAATCTATCTATCTATATATCTAATCTAGTCTAATCAAATCAAATCTAAATCTAAATCTTTATCTTTATCTTTATTTTTTATCTTATCTATCTATCTATCTACCTATCTATCTATCTATCTATCTACCTAATCTAGTCCAATCAAATCAAATCAAAATCTAAATCTTTATCTTTATCTTATTTTATCCATCTATCTATCTATCTATCCATATTATCGCTTGAAGCTGCAGCCCCAAGTATGTACCAATCTTGCCATCAACTTTTGGAGGTCAACTGAGTCAGGGGGCCCCAACCCCCGACAGTGTTGGGCCCCAAATGATAGCGTTCAGTGAGTTGGTGAACGTAACTCCAATAAGTATGGTTTATGCTACAACTAATAGTATCCATGGGGTTTATAAACTAACTTATGAAACTGGGGGGGCACATACCCAGATGTTTTTGAATTGCAGATGCCGATTCGGTGGGTCCATATCGTCCATACCAAAGGTAGTTGACCAACGAGCATGCAAGGTGGGGGCCCGCATAGTTTGCCAAGCTGGTAAACACAACCAATGTAATTGGGGTTTATGGTAGTGAAACAACTAGAGTTCGATGGCTTACTAAAAAAACAACTATGGGGGGTTATTACCATGCTTGAAGCTTGTAAGTGTTGTACCATGTTGTACCCACGAAATCCATGAAGAAAACAGGGCTTTGAGGTAGATCTATCCATAGAATTCTATAGACTATAGAGACTATAGCTAATTGGTGGTTTCAACCCCCCTGAAAAATATTAGTCAGATTGGATCATCATCCCAACTATTGGGGAAAATAAAAAATGTTCCAAACCACCAACCAGATAGATATATTTTTTCTTTATCAACAAACATCACCCGGGGCCATAAGGGCCTTGTTTTTGAGTCGTCCAACTGCCAGAAAGTCCTGGCGCCGGGACGAGGAGGGGACGAAGAGGGGACGACATTCTCAAGGCTTTTTTTACAGCGTTGATGTCTCGCTATGTGTGAAAAATGTGATTTACATGGAATCTTGATATCTATAATATCTATCTATCTATCTATCTATCTATATATATATATATCATATCTATATATCATTTAAATTTGATATATATATAGTCTTATATAGTGTATATCAAAAAGTATAAAACTAAGTGATGCAGCTACTTTCATAAATCCACACAACTCGAGACATGATCAGTCATGATTATGTTTAATGTATCAAGCTATCCAGCTACCCAACCTTGGTTGTCAGACATATTTCATGGTTTCGTCTGGAGGGGGGGGTCTGGGAGGTCTGGAGGGGTCTGGCAGGTGGTCTGGATAAGCTTGGATAGCCATGGATAAGCAAGGATGATCATTTTCAGAAAGAAAGGTGTATTTCCGGGTGTTCATTGAAAGTCTGGGAGAGTGATTTGACCTGGATTTTGGGGTGGGGGTTGGGTGGCTAAAGGCTTATTCAGGGCTTGATAAGGGCTTAAATGATAAGCGTTGGATAAGCCTTGGATAAACGAGAAACAGCAAGCTATTCTTCATACCCAACCCCCCCAAAAAATGACCCCTCAGGACCCCATATCCCCAAAATTGCCAAAATTGAAGAAAATTGGTGAACACACATCACAAGCACTGCAAAAAAATCCAAGTTTCCTTTTTTCAGGGTTGTGGCTCAAATCACCCATTGCTTTGGATAAGCAATGGATAAGGAAGTTCAGCTGTCCATGGGGAATAAGACCTACCCCTTAATAAGCCTTAATAAGCCCTTAATAAGGCTTAATAAGACCTGCATATAGGGGTTTATCATTTCCCAGCTCAGGAGCTTAAATGATAAGCTCAGACCCCCTCGATTCCATGAATATTTGAGTCAAAGCCAGAAGGACAAAGCGAAGCTCCAGGTGCTTTGAGTTGAGTCAACACCATGTGAGCAGAACCGCAGTGACATCCAGTGACATCCAGTGTGTTTCAGTCCGAAAAGGTGGCACAAACAGTGAAGTGAAGGTCCAAATGTCCCAACCTAACTAGTATATCGGTGTGTTGCGGTCAGCGGATGGTTGATAAAGCATGATTTGAAGGTTTTTGTGCTGTTTATTTTTTTCCCTGGAATTAGACTATGCAATCGAGAACACTTCAACCCACCGAGTAAAAACGAGCCAACATCAGTCAACTAGAATTTAAAGAAACCTACACACCTACAGACAGTACCCGTGATCGGTGCCTCATTTTGCAACACTGGGTCTTTGACCTTAGCAGCGACTGACACTGGCAAGTTGCAACATCGGTTTGTCCGACAGTAAGGGAGACGGAGACCCCGAGACCTTGCAATTTTCATTGAATTAAAAGAACTTATTCCGTTCTTGATAGATTCTAAACCATTAGAAGTCAATTTCAGATAATCCCACAACAGGACATATGCAATTCGGCTGCTGAACTTTGAAATTCAGCATTGTAGATGTGCATCATCCTTATGTCATGCCATATGGAACTGGATAGCTTTCTCTCTCTATATATATATATACACATTATAGTATATCATATGGACATTGATATATATATATATACCTATATAAACATGTATGTATGTATGTATGTATGTATGTATGTATATATGTAACATATTTTGTGCATTGTTCGTTGACACTATATCACACTATCGTATTTCAACATATATTTAACAAATCAACTGAGAATCTCTCCTGATTCCGGGACTCCAATGATATTGACACAGATGAACCCATCAACTACAGAGGTTCCACAGGAAGAGACACAAGAAAAAACAACACATCATTTGGGCTATGTGTCAAAACCCTGATACTGCTAGCCTGTAGTTCACCCCACCAAATAGCTGGGAATTGCGGATGTGCATCCCCCCATATGGTCTTATTTCACACCACTGTTTTGACCCATCCCCATGTTTGGAGACACCTCTAACCAGCTTCCATAAGGCACCTCCCAGTCCGGCTTTGTCATACCTTGTGCCGCCCGGCAGTACACATAGAACCATCGCGCAAAACGAAGCGGCCCTTCTTACCACGCCTGCGACAGGGGATATGCGGATCATAGGGATCATCTGACATGGTTCAAAACAGACTTAACATGGCTGAAAATGGCCATAGAAATAGTGGATTTACCCATTGAAAATGGTGATTTTCCATAGTCATGTAAACGTTTACCAGAGGGTAATAACATGTAATAACGTAGTTGAAACGACCGACGATATAGTTGATTGGCAAGTACTCAAGACTACTCAAGTATAACACCCACAAACATTATTTTTTGATCATCAATAAATCTCAAATATTTCGCAGTCAAAATGGTAAAACATCCAACACAACAAAAAAACGCAGCATGTCCTGGTCATTTCTAGATGTTGGGAGTGGAAGCCTTGGCGGATTTGGAGTTTTCACCTGGCATTTTGAGAGGTTTTCATCTTTGATTTCGGGGTGAACTTTCAAGACCCCGATTCTTCGGCCTTGCCACACGTTCAGGAAACGCCAAAGCCAGAAGTGGCCCTGGACGCGTCACAGATTTCGTTTTCGTTTTCAGATCCTGGTGCCATGAGTGGCTGGAAAAATGTCCAGGGGAAAGCAGAAAACTATTCATTCCAGGTAAGTATGGTAAATTCCAAGACCCCACTGAGCAAAAATTCGGCCATTTGGAGATGATTTCCCTTCACCATCATAGGAGAGATATCGCAGCGAAGTCGCAATCATTTTTTCAAGATCTATCTAGCGCTGTATCCGTACAGTGAAGTCACAGCGGTTCCTCCGTCCGTCCATCAGTACTTCCATCATTTATTCCTAAGTGGATGTGTATATAAATATATATATATAATTATATATATATAGAGATAGAATATGTATGTGTGTGTGTTCTCTATCTAGCTTTCCATCTATTCGCCCATTCATATACTCGACAGTCGTTCTATCCATCCGGTTTTGTTTCCGAGTGTCTACCCATTGAGTTATCTATCCTTATCTATTCATCTAATTATCTGTTTGAATGTCTATCTGGCTGTCTGTTCACCTATGCAGTATGCATCCATCCATTTACCAAAGTCACTAGTCGGGTACCTGTTGATCCCTCAACTCAGCTAATTATTACCATCATGTCTCATCTATCTTATCTATTTTCATATCTCATCTATCATATATTATCATTGCAACATTATTATCATATCTTATCATAGTTGTGGAACAAAAATAATCATATTTCATCTATCTTACCATCCAACCATCATCATCTAGCCAACCATCCGGCCATCCACCGACAGCTATGCATCAAACAAGTTCTCATATATCCAATAATCTGACTATCTATTGTTTGTCCTGTACTCTACGAGTCTATCAAAGTATCCTTTCTAAGTCCATTCATCTATCCATTATTATCAGATTATCCATGTGATTTAACCAATATCGCCTTGATTTGTAGGAGTTTCCAACGGCCTATAGGGTCAATTTGACAACTCCAAAGAGAGGTACGGTCAAATACGATCCCCCTGTGCCGCTTCTATCCATCGATCTGCCTATACATCAATCTGTGTTTGTTCTGTCCATACATCTGGTTGTATTGTCATCCATCCATCCATCCATCCATCCATCCATCCATCCATCCACTAGCCTTTTCATTTGCAAGACAAAACATGCGTCAATTCAACTGGCTATCGGCTATCTATCTATCTATCTATCTACCTATCTGCCTATCTACCTATCTACCTATCTACCTACCTACCTACCTACCTATCTCTATATATCTATCTATCTATCTACCTATCTACCTATCTACCTACCTGCCTACCTACCTACCTACCTACCTATCTAATCTATCTATCAATCAATCACTATATCTACAGTATCTAATTATCTATCTTATCTATCTTATCTGCTGTTTCTATCTTATCTTGTCGTATCTAATCTAATCTTATCTACTAACCTAACTACCTATCTACCTATCTACCTATCTACCCATCTACCTATCTACCTATCTACCTATCTACCTACCTACCTACCTACCTATCTATATATATCTATCTATCTATGTAAATATATATATATATATATCTATCTATCTAGCTAGCTAGCTAGCTATCCATCTATCCATCTATCCATCTATCCATCTATCTATCTATCTATCTAGCCGTCCATCTATCTATCTATCTACCTGCCATGGTCAAAACATGGTATTAATATGCTATGGTCATTCCACCATCATGAATGGGATTCCAACCAGAATGGGCAGCAAACTGACTTCTTTGTTCATGGACTGATGACTATCACTCCCCCAATTACTGAATTTATTTATATATATATATATATATGGGGGGTTCCATAAATGGGGGATCCCCAAAATGGTTGGTTGATACTTGAAAATCCTATTAAAAATTGATGATTTAGGGGTACCCCCATGTCAGGAAATCCCCATTAATATATGATATAGCTTTGTTATATTAATGTCGCATGAAAGGTCAGGTCCATGTTTTTTTTTAATCCATGGATCCAACACCCCCTCAGACCGTCCTCCTGAAGGCGTTTTGCATTTTGCATGACCTGGCCGTGATGGTCTTGGTGCAGACGGGACGACATGCGATTTTCGGGTCGCATGGATGCGAATGGGTCAAATACAACATGGTCATGATGAGATGCTGAGTGGAGAATAATCCCTGCAAATCAAACACCAAGTTATGGGTGGTTACAATCCTGAGAACAGATCTTGTCGCTTTGTTGATCCCTTGCGAAAAGTTGCATTTTTAGTTAATCCAATAAACAACTCTTGCAACATGCAAATGAATCCATCCAGATGCTACAAGCGGAATCTGTCTTTCTTGGTACAGAGATTAAAAAAAAAAGCGTATGTCAACGTAGGTAAAGTCGGCAAAACCAAATCAACAAACATGGTTCTGTGCAACATACAAAGGGGATTGAAATGATAAGTAACAAACAGAAAACATTGGCCGACAATCATACTATAAGACTATAAAAAGGGGTCACCAAGCAAAAAAAAAAACTGATATTCAATGCTTATCTGTGTGCTCATACATCCTGGAGGTGTTGTTTCGCATATAACATTTATGCTTTCATAATCATTCATAATCTTCAACCAATCCACTCTCAACGGCTTAAAACGGAGATTCAAAGCTAGGGGCAGCAAGTAGGAATGGCCCACAGGTCGCCCATCTCTCACACTGGACCTGTACAGTACACATGGTGGAAGTCTCCATTGCAAGATTAGATTCCCACATGGCAGCAATGATCAGCAGCATTCAGCAGCAAATCTTGGAACGATCATTGGATTCAATATGATTCAAGCAAAGAATACATCAATGGACAACAACCACCAATTCACAGCAAATACGTCAGAGAAATCACAAAATGGGAAATGTCAACCCTGGATTATCTTTGATCAAACCAAGGTACACGGCTGCAATGCTTTGGCAACACGGTCATGTTCCGGTAGCCTCGGCTTTATGTGGGACAAAAGATGGGGATTTCATGAACATTTAGCCACTAATTAAACATGGGGATGTATCCAAACATGGGATTGATATTAGAATTGGATACCAATGGGTACCAGTAGGTTTCTGTTGGTCATGACTAGACTAACTGTTGGGTTTATCCTGGATGTGCTGTTGAAAGGGGAAATATAGGCAGGGCAGGTTACAATGAATTTATCTTATTGTGTTGCCTCTGTTTCCGTATCATGTAGAGGGACTCAGTTTTCGGACCAGACACAAACTTATCTGGCACGCTTATAGACATTTATGCAATGGATATTTGGAATAATATGGAATAATCATGTGGGACAATTCACTCTTGATCACTTATACCATTAATGCGACAGCCACGAAATGAGTCTCATCCAATGACAACATTTTAAAAAGGTCAATGCATGGTCAATGCATTACTTGAAGATACTCACAAATCATGCTTCAGTTCACCAACTTGGAAGAAAAGGTCCCAAACGAGGATCGTTTCCCCTTTGGAACAAGCATTAACTCATAGAGTTCCCCTATGTTTGGGAAAAAAACAACGGGTAGCATCTTGAAAAAAGGGAATTTGGCCATGTGGCTGTACCTTTTTTCCATGGGGTCATCGTACCAAAGCTTCCTTATATGGTCGTTCCAACCCAACTCAAGGAGATAAGACTGCGATAAATTGCTGCTTGAGCCTTCCCTTAGAGAAACACGTGGGATAAGATATGTGAAATGATATGAGCATCATAGGATGTTTTACTACTCAACTATACTCAACTATATTCAACTATCCTCAACTATACTCAACTTACTATCATAATTATCATATGCCCACAATGTCCCAGAAATTTGTTGGAATGTATTGAACCATAGTAATGTATAAAACCGGCACATCAGGTCACATCAGGTCACATCTGGTTGCCTTGCCACGCAGCGCCCCCTCTCGAGGAGCGGACGCTGTGGCAAGTCTTCTCCACGTAAGGCACGTAACCTCCAAAAGGAAAACTGCGACATCCTAAGAAACCCTGAAGCACTTGGGATATCTTGACTCAGGATGGATGTTAACCCGCAGTTGACTAATTTTAACAGTAATCCCTTACACGATTTGGAGATACTTTATGATATGTTGTGATACTGTCACGGTATCCCCCTTATTAATCCTGAATTGACATTGATCTATGGACTCTATGGAGACCAGCGATGAACTTGGTGACCTTGACCAAGAAATGTCGGGAATACAATCAGCAGGATATGTGCACATCACCTATGTATGTATGTTTGTGTTCCCGTTCCCTGGTGGTTTGGACGCAAGAAATTCAGAACATGATGACATATTGCCATTTTCAACTATACAATTGGTTGCGGTCCAAGGAATTCGAAAACACTTAAGCACTTGTCTTGGGTTCCACATCTAATCACGAGCCTGGACATCAGTGGATTTAAGTTGATTTTACAGCAGTTATTTTTAACCAGATTGAATAAAATATAAATTTGTTCTTTCCGATCTTGAAATTATGGGACATGTAGCTGAACTATGAAGTACGTAGTCTGTTCATCTATAATCAATGGGTAAACCTTAGGATAAAAAAAACAATTTTGACACTTAAATGATCGCCTGTCCGGCCCGTTTACACTTACATCTTCCTACAGTCATGGCCCAAAACAGCTATAAATGGGTTTATAGTGATATGTAACACGTTGGTTATAGGATAGGATCACTACCCTTTTGAGATAGGGGGACGTACCCTAAATGTAAGCGAGGGGGGCGTAATAATTGTTAACTTTCATTTTTTTCCAAATACGTTACGTTCTCATTGCAAACTTTCATTTTAGTAAGGCCACCCTTTTTCCACAATGTGACAATGTCCTAAAAAACCTAGGGGGACATTCAAAATGTAAGTTTGCATTTTTGAAAAAATGTAAGAAGGTTAAAAAAAATGTAAAAATGATAATATAAAAGTCTGCAAATAGCTGCAGAATTGCGGAAAATCAAAAATGTGAACTTGAACTAAAAGTTTGCAGGACCCCGAACTGCTTGGTACTTCCAATACATTCTTCTTTTTTTCTAAACTTTTTTGATCCTTCCCACATGTAACATAGAGGTATAAGAGGTATATGACTCCTTGCAAATTACTGGAAGATCCTTGAACTTCAAAAAACAGTAAAATTAGATTTTAGATGTTGAAGGTCTTCAAATTCACCTCCTATTCCTACCTATGAAAAAAATCGAATACAAATAAAGATCTCAAATGGACCTCAAAAGGACCTCAAATGAACCTTTATGGGGTCCCCATGGGTCCCCATGGTAAGCCCCCAAAAGAAAAGAAACGAAAGGACTTGTTTATAAATGTGCTTGATCTGGCAACGCAGGTGCGCAAGAGTTCACCCAAGCAACTCGCAGCAACCAAAGCCTTTGGGTCATAGACAGGCACCATCACTTCAAATAATAATTTGCTTGCACCAAAATTTTCTACTTCACATCAGGATGAAGAAGAAGAAAAAGACGAATATCATGCTAGGTCATCAATGGTAATTTGCTCAGCCGGGCACTTGGGTCATCCACGAACATGAATTTCGCTGGCTGTTTTGCAAAGGAGCGGGTGATTTATGGGCTCAACCGCAAATGAAACCAGGCGCTTGTCGCTCTTGGGGCAACTACTCACAACAGGTTTTTCACAATCAACACGATCATATCTTCAAAATTTGGCTCGCTGCCACCTGACGCAAGGAAGCACGCCGCAGCGCACCTTCAGCACACATGTGATGGCTCAGCAGCTGGCTGGCCTGTCTAAAAAAATTCAGGGGCATTCGGCAGCTTTGACCGGCCCATTACATGGTTCCATGCGTGGACAAGCAAAACCACCTGAGCGAAGGGTGCGTTATACAGCTAGGGTGTAGAATAATTTTTCTGGGGTTGATGCAGTTGCCTCTTCGATGTATTCATCGAGTTTGTCTTTTCTTTTTGAGGCTGTGGCGACTTCCCGCAAATGCCTTTTGATCACACGTCCAACATCAATCGATCCCGACATCCCAATGACGTGGGGAGGAGGCACCTGAAAGGCGTCCTGGACGGCATCATTTTGCAAGACACCGTCCATTATTTTCGCCTTGATGTGGAACAGATTTTGTTTAATCCTGGGCCAGACAAAAGGCCAGAGGAGGGGCATGGGTGCTGAAGGGGTAACAAAAACACGCGGCGCCTCCTTGTATGCAGGCTTTTGATGGAAGATCGCCTCTGCGTCCATGGTTTCTATTACGGACTTTCGACCCCCCTCAAAATGTAAGTCCGTGCGTGCTTGTTTTTGGACCTATAGGGGGGTCTAACATACAAATAGACGTCCACCTCAGGTTTTTGTCCCGAGGGGGTCAAAGCGGTAGCTTACATTTTGTGTACGTCCCCCTTGCTTACACCCCACGAAAAGGGTGGTGATGTTATAGGGTTTTATAGATGGCTTTAGGAGTTTGAATTCCATTTATATCCATTTATAACTGTTAGTTGGGCCATGATTGTCATAACGGGGCATGTTCCATCGGCCCATCGGCCTTGTTGCAACATCGGCACAAAGTCCTCGCTGCGAATCCTGGATCGAGCAGCGTGGCAGAAAGAATCCACCAAAAAAACATGGGCAACTAGATGTGTTTTAGAATGATTTTACATGTTTATAAAATTTATTCATATGATATGTAGACTCTGGCTATTTGTGGCGTTTCAAACATAGTCGTGGTACACATTCGAATGGAACTTATAGCTCATGGTACATTAGGACCTACATTCAGAATCTCATGTCTGCATGATGTGGCTTCGGATCAAAATATCGAGGTTTCACGGAAGGCGGTTCTAGAAGGGAACCACATGTGCATGACTCCAAGGTCTACATGGTTGCAAGTAATCATTACTTACATTATTCTGTGATTTGCTAGAAATAAAACGACCCAACCATCTTTTGTGCGGATGAAAATCCCATAACCGAGTCCTGCAACACGTCACGTTCCTGCCACGGCTAGGAAGAACCAGAACCCTTCGGAAAGGGACCACGCCCTCTAGTAAGCAAACCTGGTATGCTAGAGAACTTGTCTTATATTGTTTTTAGATGTGTTTGAGATTTGGTTCGTATATGACTATTCAATACTTCATTGAACGTAATGCCTTTCAACTGCCAAATTTAGTTTCTCTAAGGGGCTCTAGCGGGTAATGACCAAATGCCGGAGTCAAAATGCCAACATAAATAATAAATTGAAAAAATCATAAATGATTCAGGCGAGAGTCATGTGTTGACTAGTTCCGTCAGAAGGGGCTTTACGTATTCATAGACCCTCAGTTGACCCTACATTTTTTATCAACTATTGGCTGGGGGATGAAACCCCATTCACTGGTTGGTTTACCCAGCCATCTCCATGTTTGGTTGCTTATGCCGATTATGTATGAAAAAATCATGATGTGTATAAATATATATATACAGTATTTATATATATATATAAATACATTGTATACATATATACAGTAAATTATATATATATATATGTGTGTATCCCCTCTAATGATTGGTTGTCAGTCAAAACCTGCTACAAGCACCCTGCAGCTGAGAAGCGCAGAACAAAGACCTTCTTGGATCTTCTTGGGATATGTTCAGAGACATCCAATCTTGGTTTAATTTATGCTTGCAGAAAACATCCCAAAATATCTATGATTGTCAACATCCCCCACCCTTGAGGGGGCTAAAAGTGTTCACCGGTTGCTTCACAGATCTACCCCTTGAAGGATCATGGCTACCCTAAGGGCAAGAACATCAGCTTCTCCCCACCTCCTCCAGCAAGGCACACAGCGTTGCCACGGAGCCAAGATCGGTGCCATTTTCCTTCGGGCCAGCCAGAATGGCTTTTCACCACTTTTGATATGTTCAAAATGGTGAAGCCAAAAAAGGTAGAACTGTATAACCCATTTGATGATATCTGCTAATTCCAAAAGTATCATCATGTTTTCTCTGTAATTTTGACGGCCCTTTTTTGCGGGTTACCTCCTTTCTCTCCATCATTTATGGTGAAGTCGTTCCGATGTACTTTCATAATCTGGATGACCGAGGTTTATGATTACCGATATTGAGCCCAGGATTCGGGTAACTGTTGGTCATTTATTCCATATATGGAGCACCTAGGCCTGACTGTAGGAACTGCCACTTGAGAGCTTCTCTTTGAGACCGCAAAAGAATCGGGACCCTTCGGATCCCTTCGGGATCCTTCTGTCTTTCTTTTATGGACGTGTCAAAAAATAGGGTACCCCTAAATCATAATATGTGCGGTTCTATATCCCATGGATATCTCTCAACAATATCCAATATATCCCATGAAGTTGATCATTCAGTCATCATTCTCAGACCCATATATCAAATGGCTTACCCTCTGGATCCCTCTGGTAATCAAACATAGCTATTGAAAATCATCAATGTTAATAGGTAAATAATATCTATGAAGAGCAACTGCCCATAGCTACTGTGGATGCAAGAAATCCTGTACCAGTTAGTAGGTGGTTTATCCCATTACTGATAGGCTTTCAACCATCCAAGCAAGGTGGTGCAGGATTTTGCAACCATTCATACTTATGTTGAATGAACACGGGGTAGCCACCCGCATGTTCAATCCCGCACAGACCCATGCCTTGCTATCTTCTGCTCGAAGGACCATGTGAGCCAGGCGTGGGTGCAACGGCAGCCTGGGATGTGTTTTTTTTCACCCAGGAAGTTGACTGAAACGAGAGAAACTAGCCCGAAATTCCCATGAAATACTATGACATGTTTGGGAAAGTAGCCCTAAATTCCAATACTTAGCACATGAAGTCATGAAATGTCTGGCCATTTTGGGAGTATTACTGAGCGCCGTATCATTACAAAACATGTTAGACAAATGCACTATTGTGGATTATTGTGGTAGATCAGCGAAAAACTTCGCCGAATTCCCCCTGCATCAGCACCTCGCCATAGCATGGCCATGAGGAGTGAGTTTCTCTTCATCCTGTGCGACGGAAGGACGGAAGGGGTCAGAAGCTGTAAGTCTAAACATTGGAAATGGGTGAAATTTAGTGACTTTTGACATTTATGATTACTGGTTTATGATTTATGATGCTTTATAATTGATGGTTATGATGCTGGTGCTGATGACGATGATGATGATGATGATGATGATGAGGATGTGGTGATACTCTTGGCATCTCTTGGCGATGTCTCGGGAAACAAATTCAAAGGAACAGCAGTTTGGGATCACAAATGGTTGCTACCGTATGATTGTCTGGTTGCTCAACATTCCTTGTAAATTGGAGTTCACTAGGCTCATCGTGAAAGCGCTTCCAAAATTCAACCAGTGCACTGCAAAATCACAACCTTCCTGCATCCCTTAAGATTCTGGAGTGATATAGCATACGCCTTAATATCCGTGCAAGAAAGGACAGCATTGCAAGGATGACATGCGTGAGGATGACAATGATGAATGGGGATTTGTAATCGACCATGAGGTCCTGCGCTGTTCTCGCGCGTTTCAGACAAACCCAATTTGCACGTTTCCACCAACGACGCAACCACCATCCCAGCTTTGGGTCTCCAGAACGGAGGATGCAACCCCACAGATTCCCCTTCCCTCCGGTAGATTAACATAGATATGCCTGGTTTGCCAGTTCTTGATTTTGCGGGAGGCGCCTCCCGCGCTGATATTGGAAAGCTACAAGCCAACCTATCCAGCTACCATTCAGCCCATATGTTGGTGTAAACCCACCATAGGGTGGTTTCTTAAGTCATGAGATGGTTGATTCAATACTATAGAAACTGGCCATCCATGACTTAGGACACCTCCAATATGATAATAAGCCATATATATATATATACACATTATATATTTATATATACACATTATATATATATCCGCCGTTCCCAGCCGACGGGAGGGGGAGCGCCGCAAGGAAAACCGGAGCAGAGGCAAGAACAGCGAAATTTGAACCAGGGACCTGGGCAAGGGAGAACGCAAGAGCCTGGGCAAGCAAGAAGCGCAAGAAACACGAAGAGGGAAGCCCAATAAGCAAGGTTTCTTGCCGGTTCAGAAAGAAGGAAGCGCAAGAGCCAAGAACAGGCAAATTTGAAGCTAGTTTCTTGTCGGTTCAGAAAGTAACGTTAGGCACTGGCCGCTGCCGGTTGGGGACCGTTTTCGTCACGCAGTAGCATTCAAAGGACTGAAGGCCTGATCGCTTGGAGTTAGTGAGTTCAGAGGCTTTCACGGGATTTTGTACATGTAGTGAAGCAAGGAGGCCAATGGTGTATGAGTGAAGAAGTTCCAATAATTACAGAACTTGTTGTGGCCGACATTTTGTGCAGTATCACGTTCGTCCTCTTTTGTTTTGGTGATTGCTTCTCTGTTTCTGTTTGCATGGATAAATTTTATAAGGAACCACTGCACGGCGAGCGGTAAGAGCCACGTACTAATCTGACTAGCTCCCTCTCCCGCAAATGCATGCACTGCATTTGCATGATTGCAAGGTGCTTCTCAAATGAACCAGATCTGTTTGGTTCTTTATGGTTTCTGCTGGCCCAATACCAACTGCTAAGCCTCTGGGGTCGGCGGCCGGGGGCGTAGCCCCTTTATATATCATATCCCCCCTACTACCTGGCACTTCCCCCCTCGGGCTGCCCTGGCCTTGTCAGGACTCCATTGGATGGCCTGAAGACGCCGTAAGACCTCGGGCTGCCACGTAGGGCAGATCATGGGCATCTCATGTGTATGGAACATGGCACATTGCCCATAGACAAGATGATTTGGGGATTCCAGAAAATTTACCATCCATTAGAGGGACTATCCATCCATGAACCATCCAATATTTGAGGGAATAACCATCCATTAGAGGGATATTTGGGGATTTCGGTGGTTCCATAAGGGGTATCCCCAATAGCTGGATGGTTCATAATGGAAAATCCTATTAAAAGGGATGAAACATGGGATACACCAATTTTAGGAAATCACCATTTATGAATGTTCTTGATGATTTACCAAAGTGGTGATTAAACCCATAGCTACTGAAGTTCATTACCTGATGGTAGTATGGGAGGTATACCAATCATATACTAATCATATACATTCATTATACTGGAATGATAACACCAACCATTATATATTGTCAATGTGTGAACCCAGGCAGCAGTGGTGGCGGAGCTGCTTGGATTTGACTGAACATGTTGGGAAAACATTGGAAAACCTACTAAATCCATCCGAGAATTATCATGTTCCCTCGAAAAAGGGTATATATTGTACATATTATATATATATACCTGGTATTACGGCATTACCTCTATTTTCAGACACATCCAAACAAATGATTGGAATGAGACACCAAAATTGTATAAAATCGTGGCATATCGACACATTGCCGGATGGTCCAGGTGCCAACTAATGGCAACAACGATGGAGACGCCTACAATGATTGGGGGTTGATAGGGGACTCAATAAATGATTTATTGGGATCAATTCCTCAAAATAACTAACATCAACTATATATATATATATGTGGGAGAGTGAGTGCCGAAACTACAAGTATCATGAAGGCAGTGTGGATTCTTGTTGATAATCTCACGCTCTCAGGAACCTTTTTGACTGCAACCTTGCAGCACGTTCCACAATCACTTCATGGCTAGCATTGGCTATTTCCACAGGTGTCTGAAATCACGTTCTATTTTCCGCACATTAAGACCATGCCGAGCGCAGTCTAACCTAGACTTCGGAGCTCACAGAAGAAGACGGTAAGACCATTTGTTCCCAACTAACGGACATGACAAAACATCGATTCATGAGCACCTACCACACTCTTTCAGTCGTGTTTGTCCAATATCAATCCAGAACATTCCCCAACTATTGTTGGCAAGAAGAAACATTTTTTGGTTCTGTCATTTTATACCCCGCCATGACGCCCGTTTTTCCCATTGAAAAACAAGCCCCCTTTCACTTCTGCCGCATACTCAGTCGACTTCAAGGGAGGCGGATCCTGATGGACTGGGACACCGAAATGGAGGAACGCCGGGAATGAAAAGACCTGCTTAAATGATTTATCTCATTCTTAGTCATAGAATGTCATAGAATAATTTTTGGGTACCAAGTTTCAACTTGGTAGGCGGATGACGAAGGCTTCATTTAATTTGATGAGCCAAAAACTCAGAAACAGGCGTGAATTGGGCTCTAGGTCTACAAGAATGAGATCCAGCTCCTGAAAAATCGTCTCATCCTGCCACTTGCGATTCAAACTCCAGTTGTGACCTCTGGAGCCAATTCCGAAAAAAAAAGGGTTTCTCGGACTCGTATTTCTTGGGGATTTGACGAACCGGGGGAACCGGGGAATTCCGACCATGGCACGGCCATGGTGCCATGGTCCACGGGTCCACGGTCCGTTTCGCTGAGGCATCCGACCAGCCAAGGCAAACCATGTGTGATGTCTTTCAATGCAACCTGAGCTGTTCCAGGCACCTGGCAAAGATATCGATCTTGCGGGTAAAACAATGTCATAAACCATCCCCCAATTTCACAATGTTTATAGGTGGTATGTTTACCATTCCCAAATGTGTGGTTTATGACATTGTTTTACCCACATTAAATTATTGTATATTGTGAATTGGTGGTCAAGTATCCTTCAAAAACACAGGACAAATTAGGATGGTTGATCGAACATGTTTGCAGGGACCAACATCTAAAACACCTACTATTCATCTATCATGTATGCAATCGATAAACACGCACGCACATGTATCACATAATATTATTCCAGTATAGACACACTCCAATCAAGTAAACATATATAAGATTATTTAAGAACACACACGCACCACATTAAACAAACAAACATTATTCCAAGAAACAACTCATAAGTAAACAAAGAAAACATCGGAATTCATGAGTTCATTCGGTTTCCCTCTGGGATCTCCCGGCGCCCAAGTCCAGCAACCGCAACAGTGCAGCAGTGAGGTCCTCTGCTTGGATGGCTGGGACCTGGCTGCCAAATGGCTTGAGGAGCAAACCTGTTTTTGATATGAACATATTATTAACATCTTCCAATATTTGATAGTTGGGTATATAGTTGGGTATTTAGTTGGGTATATCCAATATTATATATATATATCCGCCGACCCCGGCAGACGCAAGGGGGAGCGCGCCAGGGAATAATACTTTTGATTCTTGTTTCGGACTACTACCGCAGCAGGCGCAGCAGCAGCAGCAGGAGAAGTAAAGCAAAGACAAGCAAGTTTAGCCGCACCAGCAGCAGGAGCAGGAGCAGCAGCAGCAGCAGCAGCAGCCGCAGCAGCAGCAGCAGCAGCAGCAGCAGCAGCAGTAGCATCAGCAGACGCCACAGCAGCAGCAGCAGCAGCAGCAGCAGCAGCTGCAGTACAGTAGCAGGAACCGCAAGAATAGCTGCAACAGCAGCGCAACGGACGCCTGCACCACCACCAACAGCAGTAGCTGCAAAAATGTTGTGGCGAAGGGTGTGTTTTGGAGGCTTGCAGCACCTGCTCCAGCAGCACCAGCAGCAGGAGCAGCAGTAGCAGCTCCGGGAGGATGCATTTTCAGCCTCGGGAGGAAGAGCAGCAGCAGCAGCAACAGGAGCAACAGGAGGGTTGTATGTCTCATTGTACAAACAGTGGTATAAAAATTGGTCGAAAACCATAAAACCTTGTCCAAAACTATTGTTTTTCTAGGGTTTCAGAAGGGACGTTAGGCAGTTTTTGGGCTCGATTTTGGCGCTGTTCCGTCCTTCACGGCCACTGTGCTTCCCTGTCCGGGAGGGTGCGTTTTATATCTTGTATATATTTCTATAGGGTTTCAGACGTCACGTTTGGCAATTTTCTCATTTATATGGCACCAATGGGTGTCAAGAACATCGGCAAGAGCACGCAAAAGGGCAGCAGCAGCAGCAGCAGCAGAAGCAGCAGCAGCAGCAGTTGTTTCTTGCTCTGGAAGCTCTTTGATTGCAGCAGCACGACAGCAGCACCACAGCAGCAGCAGCCACCAGCAGCAGCACCAGCAGCAGGCAGCAGGCCGCCGCAGGCAGCAGCAAGCATCAGTAGGCAGCAGCAGACACAAGCAGACGCAGCAGCAGTAAGCGCAACGGCAGCAGTGCAGCAGCTAGCAGCACGAAAAATTGTGTTTTTCTAGGATGGCACCAATGGGTGTCAAGAACGTGGGCAAGAGCACGCAAAAGGTGCATATAGCCAGTAGCTAGCAGCCAGCGCCAGTAGCAGCCAGCGCCAGTAGCAGCCAGCAGCCAGTAGCCAGCAGCCAGCAGCCTACCAAAAAATCTAGATTTTTCTGGGATTTCAGACGACACGTTAGGCACTTTTTTGGCGTGGTTCTGGCACTCGCTCGTCCTTCAGAGCCTTGGTGTTTTCCCCCCCGGGAGGTGATTTTTTCGAACCTGTTTTACTGCTAGCAGCCGCCAGCAACAGACTCTATCGAAAAATTGTGTTTTTCTAGGGTGTCAGACGACACGTTAGGCAAGAGCACGCAAAAGGTGCACATAGCCAGTAGCTAGCAACATCTAGCAACAGAATCTGTCGAAAAATTGTGTTTTTTCTAGGATGTCAGACGACACGTTAGGCACTTCTATATATCTTGTATATATTTCTATAGGGTTTCAGACGTCACGTTTGGCAGTTTTCTCATTTATATGGCACCAATGGGTGTCAAGAACATGGGCAAGAGCACGCAAAAGGGCAGCAGCAGCAGCAGCAGCAGCAGCAGCAGTTGTTTCTTGCTTTGGAAGTTGTTTGATTGCAGCAGCACGACAGCAGCACCACAGCAGCAGCAGCCACCAGCAGCAGCACCAGCAGCAGGCAGCAGGCCGCCGCAGGCAGCAGCAGGCAGCAGCAAGCATCAGTAGGCAGCAGCAGACACAAGCAGACGCAGCAGCAGCACGCGCAACGGCAGCAGTGCAGCAGCTAGCAGCACGAAAAATTGTGTTTTTCAAGGATGGCACTAATGGCTAACAGCCAGCGCCAGTAGCAGCCAGCAGCCAGTAGCCAGCAGCCTACCAAAAATCTCTAGATTTTTCTAGGATTTCAGACGACACGTTAGGCACTTTTTTGGCGTGGTTCTGGCACTCGCTCGTCCTTCAGAGCCCTGGTGTTTTCCCCCCCGGGAGGTGATTTTTTCGAACTGTTTTACTGCTAGCAGCCGCCAGCAACAGACTCTATCGAAAAATTGTGTTTTTCTAGGGTGTCAGACGACACGTTAGGCAAGAGCACGCAAAAGGTGCACATAGCCAGTAGCTAGCAACAGAATCTGTCGAAAAATTGTGTTTTTCTAGGATGTCAGACGACACGTTAGGCACTTCTATATATCTTGTATATATTTCTATAGGGTTTCAGACGTCACGTTTGGCAGTTTTCTCATTTATATGGCACCAATGGGTGTCAAGAACATGGGCAAGAGCACGCAAAAGGGCAGCAGCAGCAGCAGCAGTTGTTTCTTGCTTTGGAAGCAGTTTGATTGCAGCAGCACCACAGCAGCAGCAGCCACCAGCAGCAGCACCAGCAGCAGGCAGCAGGCCGCCGCAGGCAGCAGCAGGCAGCAGCAGGCAGCAGCAAGCATCAGTAGGCAGCAGCAGACACAAGCAGACGCAGCAGCAGTAAGCGCAACGGCAGCAGTGCAGCAGCTAGCAGCACGAAAAATTGTGTTTTTCTGGGATGGCACCAATGGGTGTCAAGAACGTGGGCAAGAGCACGCAAAAGGTGCACATAGCCAGTAGCTAGCAGCCAGCGCCAGTAGCCAGCAGCCTACCAAAAATCTAGCTTTTTCTAGGATTT